AACCTTTGGAAGTTCTCTGTCAATGTATGCTTGCAGCCATTTCTGTATTACCTTTAGTAAAACTTCACTTACATGGGATATCAAAGAGATTGATGATTTCCGCATTCCGTTGTGTCACTTCTCTTTGGAATGGGCACAAATACGGACCTCATCCAATCAGTCGGCCAGATAGTTGTCTTCCAAATTTCTTGTCAGAGATTAGTGAGTGCCTCTTGTGCCACCTCACTTTCTTGAAAGATTTTCCATTTTTATTCCATCAATTCCTGGTGCCTTGTTCTTTGCCAATTCCTTCAATGCACTTTGGACTTCCTCCCTGAGTATCATTTGCTTTTGTTCATATGGTACCTCTTGAAATGGTTGAACAGTAACCATTTCCTTTTGGTACAGTGACTCTGTGTATTCCTTCCATCTTCTCTTGATGCTTTCTGTATCATTCAACAATTTGCCCAGAGAATCTTTCAATAACAAAAGTCAAGGCTTGAATTTTTTTTTCAGTTCCCCCAGCTTGAGAAATGCTGAGCGTGTTTTCCCTTTTTGGTTTTCTGATTCCAGATCTTTGCACATTTTGTTGTAATATTTGGCTTTATCTTCTTGAGTGATCTTTGACATTTTCTGTTCAGCTCTTGGACCGCCTCATTTCTTCCATTTGCTTTAGTACCTCTATGCTGGAGAGCAAGTTTCAGTGTCTGTTCTGACATCCATTTTGACCTTTTGCTTCTTTCTTGTCTTCTTAATGACTTTTTATTTTCTTCATGTATGATGTTCTCGATGTCATTCCACAACTCTTCTGGTCTTTGGTCTTTAGTGTTTAATGTATCAAATCTATCAGATGGTCTCTAAATTCAGGTGAGATATATTCAAAGTCATATTTTGGCTCTCGTGAACTTGTTTTCATTTTCTTCAGCTTCAGTTTGAATTTGCATATGAGTAATTGATGGTCTGTTCCACAGTGTGCCCCTGACCTTGTTTTCACTGATGATATGGAGCTTTTCCATTGTCTCTTTCCGCAGATGTAGTCAATTTGATCTCTACGTCTTCCATCTGGTGAGGTTCATGTGTATAGTCGTTTCTTATGCTGTAAAAGAATGTATTTGAAATGAACAAATTGTTTTTGCAGAATTCTATCATGCAATCTCCAGCAACATTTCTATCACTAAGGCCATATTTTCCAACTACTGATCCTTCCTCTTTGCTCCCAACATTTGCATTCCAAACACCAGTAATGATCAATACATTTTGGTTGCATGTTTGATCAATTTCAGATTGAAGAAGTTGGTAGAACTCTTATATTTCATCCTCACTGGCTTTAGTCGTTGGTGTGTAAATTTGAATAATAGTGGTATTAACTGGGCCTCCCTGTAGGTGCATGGATATTATCCTATCACAGACAGCATCATACCCTATGACTGATCAGGGGATGTTCTTTTTGACAATGAATGCACCACCATTCTTCTTCAATTTGTCATTCCGGACATAGTAAACCATGTGGTCATCAGATTCAAAATGGCCAATACCAGTCCATTTCAGCTTACTAATGCCTAAGATATCAATGTTTATGTGTTCCATTTCATTTTTGACAACTTCCAATTTTCCCAGATTCATATGTCATACATTCCATGTTCTGATTTTTAATGGATGTTTACAGCTGTTTCTCTTCATCTTGACTCGTGCCCATCACCAAATGAAGGTCCTGTGGGGCTTTTCTCCCATGGGCTTTATTCCATTTGCATCATCACGGTCAACTCTACTTTGTGGAGGCAGCTCTTCCCTAGTCGCATTTTGAGTGCCTTCCAACTTGAAGGGCTCATTTTCCGGCACTCTATCTGACAGTGTTTCTCTGCTCTTCATAAGGTTTCAGTGACTAAATATTCAGAAGTAGCTCGTCACTCCTTCCTAGTCTGTCTTCATCTGGAAGCTCATCTAAAACCTGTCCACCATGGGTGACCGTGCTGGTATTTTAAATACCGGTGGCATAGCTTCCAGAATCACAATAACTCACAAGCCACCACAGTACTACAAACTGACAGACATGGATTAGGTGGGTTTAAAGCTGGACTGTGAAAAGTATATAAAATTTGGAAAGGAAATAAGAAAAGAAGAAGCTATTTCTATATGAAAGAATTGCACAAAGTTGTAAACTGAGCACTGTTAAAAAACAAAAAACAAAACATTGTATATTTCTATGCCAAGCTCTATACTAGGTGCTGGAGATTATAGCATGTTTGGGAACTTCCCCCCACATTCTGTTGCTATTTATTACCGTGTATCTTTAAATGGTGACTATCTTGCAACGGAACAAATCCTTTAAAAATATTTTGATGACAGAAGTCTCTTTTCATTGCTGATATAGAAGAGGCTGGTTTTTGCTTTTAAAGTAAGGATAATTTATAAAAATAATTGGGAAAGGAATAATTGGGAAGCTTCACATACTCATCTTTCTCATCATCATTGACTTCCTCCCTGGCAGCCATGGTGTTGTCTGATGATAATAAGTTGTTGCATAGAGTAATAATAATAATTCCGTACTTGTTAGTCCTTGAAAAAATTGCCTTATGTACATTATCTAATATAATCAGAACAATAACCCTATGAGTTTTATTTAATATTGTTTCCCCAATTAAAATAAGTAAACTGAAACCTAGGATAAACAACATACCTAAGTTCACACATTTAGTTAGTTATCAGCAGAGGCATGACTGACTCCAAAGTCTTTGTTCCTAGATCCCGGTGCTAGTCTGCTCTTTAGTTGGGAGCTTTTGAAGGTCCAAGAGAAAGAATGTTTAGTGGTGTGATTGAGAGATTGGCATTAATATTTGTAGACATAGTACATTCCAGCAATTGGTACTAAATCAGTACTTAATTGGTACTAAATCAGTACTGAATCAGCATACTACCAAATCCAGAGTAGATCATCTCTTTAGTACAGCATATTTGGAAAAGTTGGGCTGATTGTGTTGGCTTATAGTCCAAACACATCAAAATTAACAGGTGTACTTCCTTGAGGAAAGGAGCCCTGTAGTGTAGTGGATTTGGAGTTTAAATCTACCAGCCACCTCTACAGGAGAAAGATAAGGCTTTATGCTCCCATAAAGATTTACAGCCTAGGAAACCATATACAGGGTTGCTATGAGTTAGAACTGACTCCACAGCACACAGCCACTATCACCATCACCGCTTCCTAGAGCATGGTGAAATTACTGAAAGATGAACTCTGTTTTTTTTCTTCCTAGATGTGACACTTGGGGGCTTCCATTAAAAACATCACCAAACCTTTGTCTCTTGAATCTCTTACATAAGTGCCTGTGATCTTTTTGAGGGCATAAGTCTGTACAAGGCCATTACCCAGTGACCAGGTTTCTGAGCTGTGGGTGGAAGTGACAGCAGCTATGAGCGGAAGTGACAGCAGCTGTGAGGGTCTGGAAGGAGATGAGGGAAGAAAAGGTCACTCTTTCTGACAACTTGATTTCACTTATAAGCCATTTGTTTTCAGAAATAAGTAATGGGTGAGGACATAGACCAGGCCTACAATTTGTGCACTTTCTGAGATCAAATTACTACAGTAGAGATAGAGGTATTATAGGGATGTTTTGAGAGGACTCAGACAGAAGTGGGAGAAGTCAGGGACCTTAGAAAGGAGACAGGAATAGAATGTGATAGAAATTGCTTCCCACTCTGCACCCTTGAGGGAACAAAGAGGACAAATCAGAAGCAACAGTGATAGGAGGAAGCTGGGAGCTTCTCTGGCATAAAAATTGTTAGATCATGGTGCGTTGTCAGTGATGCATTTGGTAGATAGAAGGGATGTGCCAGTCCACATCTTTGAAATCTCGGCATCAGAATCATTTTCTTGTCCCCTTCAGTTGTCCTCTCAAGAAGGGAAGCATGCCAAATGTCAGTTTTCATTCTGGCTTTGTTCCAGTTACATAGCTAGGAAAATGACCCATTGAAGAAGATCTAGGAGTGAGAAGTTTCTGGGAAATGAGAAAGAGAATGGAGATTTTAGCCAGTGCTTTTTGCTGTGGGGAAGTTGATTTTCAAATCTTGTGGAAGAGATGAAAGGCCCTGTGAAGAGTGTGAATGCACAGAACAGAGAAGCGGAGGCAATGACACAGCACTGAAAGACTTCCTCTGATCCTTCTGTCTTTTGTTTTACCTCTGCAGCATTGCAAGGGGCAATCTTAGGGCAAGGAAGGTGTAGAGGTCAAAAGAAGCCTTATATTTATAGAAGATAAGTTAGAGTCATTGACAGTGTTGGCTATTATAAGATAAATTTCAGTTTGCCACGTTTTTTTTTTTTTTTTTTTTTTTAATAACAGCAAACTTTTACTGCAAATCATTAATGGAGTCTGAATTCCAGCCTGGCTTGGGGAATCAAGAGCAACTCTTGATTTAATGGCTTTGCAGCCTCTTGGAGACAGTCATCTATTAAAAAAGGAAAAAGGAAAATCACTCTTGAATGAACAAAGAAAATGTTCTGGGTGATAAATGAAAAGCATCTGAAGTAAGATTAAGAAAAGCTTAAGGGAAACATCTCTAAAATTTTACCAGATTTTACCCACTGTGATAAAAATTGTGTTAGGGAAGAGGTTTGCTTGCAGCTTCATGGAACCAATCTTTTAAATAAACACAAAAATAATGGTTATTTGCCAGCATTGGTTATTTCACACACTGAAAATAAGGGTCATTCGGCTGGGAGCAGAACTGAGTATTAAATCCCAGGATGCTAGTTTTAGGCTGGGTCTCTCCCCTCCACCCCCCTACCCCCCATCTCCGCCCCCAACAACCGCCTCACCATCCCATTGCCCCAGGAGTTGAACACTTTCTTCTTTGCTTAGGAGTGATTCAGGGAAGATGTAAGGTCAGGTAAAGATCTGCGATCCCGGTCACCGGTAACCCCAGTACGCCTAAATCTGTGCTCATTTCCTTTGAATGTGGGGACGCTTATAATTAGCTAAGGCCCCCCTAGTTTGTTTGTTTTCCTAAGTTGCGCTTGGAAATCCTTTCTTGGGTTGCTGATAGCTGAGTCCTGGTGATTTAACTGTTTTTCCCAGAGTAGTCTTCTCATCTATAGACAGCCTAGAGACGGTGGAGACTGGATGAGCAGAACAGTGGGGGAGGGATAAAGGGAGTGGCCGTGTGCCCGTGGTCTGCTGGGATCCGGAGTCCAGGGTGATCGAGACCAGGCTGGAGTGAATTAGCTGAGCAGCCCGAGTCTGCCACCTCAGTGCGGAATCGAAGCCTGTCTTGCAGAGCACTCCTCCCTCTGTCTGGCTTCCTCTTCCTTCCCTCCGGAGCAGGAGCAGCAGTAGAAGCAGCCGCAGCCGCCGCCGCAAGCAAAGCAGGTTTAACGACTCAGAGGCAAGCGGAGGAGTTGGGATATGGGGAGTCAGCGGGGGCGGCGAGGCCTACAGCCCTTGGGAGGGCCTACAAGGGGAGCGGCTCCAGGCATTTGCTAGCGCGTGAGCCGTAGGGAGCCAGCGCAGGGTTGCACGAGCAGAGGCGGAGGCGGGGCCGGGTGTGGAGCACGCCTGGGTAAGCAGCTGCCTCCGGCCCTGCCTGGCTGCCTCCGACGCGGCCAGTGGCTATGGAGAAGACGACCACCAGACCTGGAGCGACAGAGCATCCACGACTCCGGCGGCTCATGTCCTGGCTGCTGCTGCTTCTCGGGCTGCTGCTGCTGGAGCCAGTGGCTTCCCAGCTACGCTACTCGGTGCCGGAGGAGCAGGCACCAGGTGCGCTGGTGGGTAACGTGGCCAACGCACTGGGACTGGAGCTGCGGCGCTTGGGACCCGGCTGCCTGCGCATCAACCATCTGGCCGCGCCCAGTCCGCGGTACCTAGAGCTGGACCTCACAAGTGGAGCACTCTTCGTCAACGAGCGCATTGACCGGGAGGCGCTGTGTGAGCAACGGCCTCGCTGCCTACTTAGCTTGGAAGTGCTGGCGCACAGCCCCGTGGCGGTGAGTGCAGTTGAGGTGGAGGTACTGGACATCAACGACAACTCGCCGCGCTTCCCGCGGTCCGACTATCAGCTTCAGGTGAGCGAATCGGTGGCACCTGGAGCACGCTTTCATATAGAGAGCGCGCAGGACCCCGACGTGGGCGCCAACTCGGTGCAGACCTACGAGCTCAGCACCAACGAGCACTTTGAGCTTGACCTTAAACCCCTGCAGGAGAACAGTAAGGTTTTGGAACTGGTGCTGAGGAAGGGCCTAGACCGTGAGCAGACCGCCTTGCACCACCTGGTACTCACAGCTGTGGACGGGGGCAGCCCAGCCCGCTCGGGCATAGCACAGATCTCTGTGCATGTCCTGGACACTAACGACAACTCTCCTGCCTTCGACCAGTCCACTTACCGTGTCCAGCTGCGGGAGGATTCACCCCCAGGCACGTTGGTGGTGAAACTGAATGCCTCAGATCCGGATGAGGGATCCAACGGTCAGCTCAGGTACTCTTTGAGTGGCTACACATCAGACAGGGAGAGGCAGCTCTTCAGCATCGATGCCAACACGGGGGAAGTGCGGGTAAGTGGAGCCCTGGATTATGAGGAGGCGTCCTCCTACCAGATCTACGTGCAGGCTACTGACCGGGGTCCAGTGCCCATGGCGGGCCACTGCAAGGTGCTGGTGGACATCGTGGATGTGAACGACAATACACCAGAGGTGATGCTCTCAGACCTGTATAGTCCCGTGCCTGAGGATGCTGCACCCAACACCGTTGTGGCCCTTCTCAGTGTCAGTGACCAAGACTCAGGCCCTAACAGGAAAGTGAGCCTGAGCTTGGAAGCCACACTGCCTTTCCGGTTGAATGGCTTTGGAAACTCCTACACACTGGTTGTGAGTGGCCCATTGGACCGAGAGCGGGTGGCTGTCTATAATATCACAGTGACAGCCACCGATGGGGGAATACCACATCTCACATCCCAGCGGACGCTGCAGGTGGAGATCTCTGACATCAATGACAATGCACCAAGTTTCCTGAAGGACTCCTACTCCATCTATATCCAGGAGAACAATTTGCCAGGGGTGTTGCTCTGCACTGTACAAGCCACAGACCCAGATGAGAAGGAAAATGCAGAGGTGACTTACTCCCTCTTGGAGAGGGAGATTCAAGGGCTGCCAGTTACCTCCTATGTCTCCATTAATAGTGCTAGTGGCAGCCTGTATGCTGTCAACTCCTTTGACTATGAGAAATTCCGGGAATTCTATGTGACTGTGGAGGCCCAGGACAAGGGGAGGCCACCACTGAGCAGCACTGTGACCGCCAATGTGTATGTGGTGGACATGAATGATCATGCTCCTCACATCCTGTACCCTACCTCAACCAATTCATCAGCAGCCATTGAGATGGTGCCTCGAACTGCCCCTGCTGGCTATCTGGTCACCAAAGTCATAGCCATGGATTCAGATTCTGGGCAAAATGCTTGGCTTTTTTACCACCTGGCCCAGACCTCTGACCTGGACCTCTTTAAAGTAGAACAGCACACAGGAGAAATAAGGACTACCAGGAAGATGGGAGATGAAACTGGTGCCACTTTCAACCTGACCGTGGTGGTACGAGACAATGGAGAGCCATCACTATCAGCGTCTGTGACCATCACAGTAGCTGTGGTGGATAGGGTTTCCAGAATCATCCCTGACACCCAGAGGCATGTTAAGAGCCTTCGAACCTACTCAGAACTTACACTTTATCTTATAATAGCATTAAGCACAGTGTCTTTTATATTTCTTTTGACAATCATTGTTTTGAGCATCATCAAGTGCTACCGCTACACTGCATATGGCACTACATGCTGTGGAGGTTTCTGTGGCGTAAGGGAGCAGTGTCCTGCAGAGCTGTACAAACAGGCCAACAACAATATTGATGCCAGAATACCACATGGCCTCAAAGTGCAGCCACACTTCATTGAAGTGCGAGGGAATGGCTCCCTCACCAAGACCTACTGCTACAAGGCTTGTCTGACAGCAGGCTCAGGGAGTGATACTTTCATGTTTTACAACACAGGGGCCCAGACAGGGCCAGGCCCTGGGGGGGCCCAAGCAGCAGTGACTGACAGCAGGCATCTCACAGGTCAAAGTGGGCAGAGTTCCGGGAACCTGATTATTCTAAAAAATGAGGCTGTTTCTCAGAATGAGGTAGGCTGTGAAAGGGAAGGGGTTTTCCCCACAGTCATGTATTTTTCACATCCCCCCAGTATCATGGGGATTATCTTTATTGAGTTGTTAACAGTGACAGGGGTTGTCAGGTAAACTGAGTATATATAAATCGTACCTATAATTTGGTCATGATCTGCTGTGTTTTCTTTCCAGAATAATGGCACTAGAAAATTATCTTACCTTCCATTTTTTTCCAGATATGAGGACTTGTCTATAAAATCGTTTGAAACATTGGGATTAGTTTTAAGTATTTGATGTTAAAACACAGCTCTGTAGAGAAATAAAACAAACCTAAGAATAAGTATTATGTTTTACAGTGTAATATTATGAGTGTTGTTGTTGTTAAGTGCCATCAAGTCAGTTCCAACCCATAGCGACCCTGTATAGGGTTTCCGAGGAGCAGCTGGTGAGCTTGAAGTTCAAATGGCTATACAGTCTGGCACATTAACCCACAGCACTACACCAGGAGAAAAGATGTCTGCTGTATCATCCAGAGGGAAAGTTTTCTTTTGAAATCCTGTTGTTGTTGTTAAGTGCCGTCAAGTTAGTTCTAACTCATACCCATCCTGTTTAGGGTTTCCGAGGATCATGTAGGAGTGGTTTTTGTGTTTTGTTTCATGTTTTTAAAGTTTTGAGGTCTCTAGGAACTGTTATGCTCACCTATCTATATGGTGTCCCTCTCTACCTTGGACCCATCCACACTGAATATTATCCAGTTGATATTTCCAGTAACTGTTCTGAACTATGTGATAGAATCTTTGGAAATTTGTGTCACAGGTGGTAAAGCCATAGGATTTGGAGCTCAACTCAAAGCCAAAGTTTGCTGTGGCTGTATAGTGTGATGACTCTTCTTTAGGAGGAGGCTCCTGTTAGAGGAAATGAATGACGGTAAAGCAGAGAAATTAAGTGTCAGTTTGTCTGGCTGGGACAGGGACGTATTAGAATGAATGGAAAAGGGATTGAGGGGACAGTGAAGGCCAGGACAAGTTGAGGAGGAAGATGAGAAAAAAGAACTCTCTCACTAGTCACTTTTCTTGGCAGACTCTGAATTCATTCTAAGAGGATTTCCCTCCATGCATTTTAAATTCAGTCTATAATCATTTGATTTCCTGTTGACAATTCCGTGGTTTTGGTGAAATGAAAAGTATCCTCCTCAAGTCTCTTATGTCCTTAAGTTAAATGACGCTACTTCCCAAGCATTGCCATTTTCTGGATCTGTAATTTGATTTGCAATGGCTACAAAGGACTTGGCATATAGATGGCTTACTGTACATGAAGATGGATGTTAGTATATGCCCTGCTTTTGAGTTGTAAGTGGCATAAGGCCAGTTTGCTCATTATTATGAAGAATGTATGCAAAGTATTATAAAGTACATGAATGTGTATTCATGTACAAGTAAGTGTATATGGTCATGAAGGGAAGTGCCTATGTGTGTGCCATGTGTGGTGTTAATCTCTGTATGCATGCTTGAAATAATACAGATACGCTTTGTTTTACTTTAAAGTTGGATTTCATAAGCCAAACATTTGTCCCAGTAATAATGATGAATTATTGTCTCACTAAACAACTACTTCATAGCTAGGACTTTTAGAGCTACTACAAAATTAGCTAATGATATTTGTCCCTCCTATGCTTTTTGTGATATATTTTCACTGACACTTTTTTTTTTCATACATATATTTTCACACCATAAGTTCATGATCTCTTGAGGAAAGTAAATTAAAACTGGAGGTGGGTAAAAGGAAGAATCTTCCATGTACGTTGCAGGTAGATCAGAAGAGCCAGCTGTTAGTCAATGATGAGTAGTCACAGGTGATAGATTTCATATTAAGAAAAACAGGGGTGGGGGGAGGTGAGGGGAGATGAAAGCATTTCCAGAAATCTTTAGATCATAGCTTTTGGAAGCATGTAAAAAGACTTAGCTTTAAATGTTGGGGCTGTAGACATTTGCTTAACAAATTCCTGTAAAGCCTTTTGGGACTGGGATGGGTTGCAGGTGGGGAAGAGGCATAGAGAACAGGCCAGGCAAGGCTCAGCTTTTCCATCAGCCATGAATGGTAAACTCAGAATAATCATGCTTTTGCCCTTACTCTCTTGGGTCAAAGCTTGGGACAATTTGATACATGAGCTATTCTTGTCTTACACTGACCCATATGTTAACATGTACTTTGGTACAAAAACCGTTACTCTAGGGAGAAAATTATGTCAGAAAGTGTATGCTTTTGTGGAATTTTGCCAGGAGTACATAATTTTAAGAAGGGCAGATTTCTGCAGATGATTTTGGAAATTCAGTGAACAGCCCCAAGATCTTCAGCTGCTGAAATGATTGCAGTTATAGGAAGAGAGAGAGTCAGATTGTTGTAGCATGGCAAAATTGGCTCAAAAATCACTCAGTTCTGAAAGTCATCTTTGCTAGATCAACCTGTTGGATGCCATGTTAGGCTTTGTTTTCACCCTACCTTGTCATTGAAGATGGCAGCAGAGTCTTAGGGTACATTTAATGCCATGTGCCCATATTTAAATCAGATGGGATTAGAAAGCAAGAATAAGGGAATTTGTACCCACTGGCACTTCTGCTATATACATGATGCTATGCTTAGCAATATTTGTCTTATTTCATCACTTTTAAGTCATACGTTAAACATTGAGTGACATCTGGCAAATGAGGAGACAAGCTCAGAGAGGTTAAGTAACATATGTAGTCAATACTGTCAGTGGTATTTTAAATCTTGTCTGTTGGACTCCAAAGACTGCTTTTATAGTAGTATATTGTTGTTAAGCCGGTTCTGACTCTTAGCGACCCTGCATTGGGTTTCCAAGGAGTGACTTGTGGGTTTGAACCACTAACCTGTGATTATCAGTCCAGCTTATCCTACAGTACCACACCAGGAGGCAGAAATCCTAATGTTTGTACTTTTTTTTGATATGAGATACTCAGGCATGTGGGCTACCACTAGTTCATCTAATAATGTGTATTAATTACTTTTGGAAAAAGAGCAAGTCCTTTCATAGAAGGAACCCTGGTGATACAGTGATTAACTGCTTGACTACTAACTGAATGATTACTGGTTCAAATTCCCCAGTCACCCCATAGGAGAAAGATGTGGCAGTGTACCTCTGTAAAGATTTACAGCATTAGAAACTCTATGGAACTACTCTGTTCTATCAGGTCACTATGAGTCAGAATTGATGGCAGTGGGTTTGGTTGGTTTTGCATGTTGTTGTTGTTATGTGCCATCGAGTCAGTTTTGCATAGAAGAATGCAAATGGGAGAATCATTGAATAAAAAGTTACTTCTAAGCTAATATAGTTTCTGAATTTGCTTGTTTTACTTTGGAAAAAAAACCTGTTAAGATCTTTTATCTCTGTTCTTTCACTGATTTTCTCTCTTTTTGCTTATTAAACATAAGCAGTTAACACCAGCTAACAACATCTGTGTTAACAACATCTTTTGATGGATTTTATCTCCAGTGAACTAATTTCATGAGCCACTTGTGCAGTAAGGTTTTTGTTTTTACTTAACTATGTGGCAGATATTCTCTTTTTATATTTATAAAACTCTATTATTGAATGTGGTCAGCACATTTAGTTTCCATGAAAAACAACTAAGTCTCAAGGTGAATTCTGTGCATTTGTGGTCCTTACTTTATAATGAACAGACTTGTCAGCTGCCTCAGGGACTAGTTGGCGGACAAGTAGACTTTTCAAAAGAGTACCAAAGAACAGTTAAGCTTGCATTCTAATTCTAAAACAATTTGCATTCACCAAATCTGTTATTTCTGCCTCAGTGTGTACACATTCAACCTACTTGCAGTTGTAGTGACCTGAAAGAGTTAACTCTTCTTTCAGTGTTACTTTATTTCTTCTAGGACTAACTTTTATCTAGTGATTCTATCCTGGGATCCATTACACTCAATGTAAAGTGGCATGGAGATGGATTTATAAAAGTGCACAATGGTCAGAGTAAGGCAAATTACTTATATCTATAAATTCCCTTTTTTGTGTTTTGTTCTTTCATGGTTACTTTTGACTGGGTGGGCTGTTTTGCCTTGCCATTTCCATGTTGGTTATAAAACTGTTCTTCTGAGAAAAAGCTTATTTTCTTTGGTTTATAATATAATAGTTTCTTCAAATTACCTACTTCCTCCCCTTTCCTACAGACTTGCTGTGCCAGATGGATTTATAGTTGAGCTTTTTCATGTCTCTTTTCTTGAACATATTCTGATTAATGAAGAAATCAATTTATTGTAGCTTGCATGTCATTGGCCTACCCTTTCCTCTGACCCAGGAGTGAGCTGTCACATGGGCATCTGGTCTAACTCAGAACACTCTGCAGGGACATAGCCTGGCATATTATAAATTGCCTATTGGCATGCTGTCTGCTTGACAGAGTAGCAGAGTCAGTTATGGATATTTGCCTTGGTCAGTTACCAATTTTTGCTCTCGGTGAGGGGTCAGAATGATGTCAGCTTGCAAATGTTTGAGGAAAAATTGCAGTCACTATGCCCAGAAAGCAGTTTAGCCTAGTTTAGTGGGGATTTACAAAGAAATCTGTGACATTGCAAAGGTGAAGAGACATGGTTGTTTCTTAGCACACAAGCAGCATCAGTTCCTTTCTGGCTTTGCAGGGTCAGGACTTGAGACTCCAGGGAAGTGAAACTGTGAGTAAGAGAGTTAATTGCTGTGCTAGCAGGCTCTGCATCCAGCATTAAGCAAGCCTTGCATTTCTGTTATACTGAAACCCATTAGGTATGTGTTAAAATTGTTTATTTTACGTTCCTGCTCTGTGAATTAAGATTGTAAATGGTTCTTTTTAGAGGGCCATATTCTACCTAGAATTCTCATATTTATTATTTCTTCACTTGTATTCACCAGAAGATTTATAGGTAGCAAAACAATGATTATTTAAAATGTGTTATTCCTTCGTGTGTTCAACTTATATTGATGTATAACAAATTGCCACAGATTAGTGGGCAAA